GCCGAGGAGTGCAGCAACAATTTCGTACCATCCTAAAATCACGCGACGGCATTTCATCATAAGAGTTACATCTTAATTGTCGCGAGTTTAGAAGAGCAGCAACAATTTTGTATTATCCTAAAAAGATCATAACGATCTATAACGCGAATCTCGGAACATATAACTTTGTCAACAATGCTTAATCGCTGTAACCCCGCGTAAATTTGTAACTTGGTATATTGTTCAAGTCACGAGTTAGCCGTCGACCTCGCTGACTTCTTAATTTTTAATTGCGCACTATTTGTAATCGGGTTAATAACGAATAAAGAACTTCAGAGCATCGTACAACCTAGAGTTTGATTTCGCCATAAGCACCCCACGACCGAGGTCCTTGCGAGGGAGCGAAGTTGGCCAGGCACATCACAGGTCTACGAAGAGTTCGTCGTCTTAAAGGTAGGAATCTGTTAATCACACAGATCATCCAACACTCCAGCATTACATAAAAATTCGAACGAGTTTCGAAGGTCACGCAGATTTCCTTCAATCATTATCCAATCATCTTCCAATTGTCCTATCAATAAGAAAATACATCAATATTAGATAATAGATTCTAACATAAAGACAGATTCCTGTTATTATTCTAATAATTCCTTCATTTCATTCTCATATTTCTATCGCCCCTAGCTCTGAATATCGCACCAAAGGCCATTCTCCCACCAACTCCCTTTAACCTCCGAGAATGCTACTGTCTATGTCGCGCACCTTGCTGCCCTGATTGTAGACGTTTCCTCTACCTCCGAGAATGCTACTGTCTATGTCGCGCACCTCGCTGCTCTGATTGTAGACGTTTCTTCAACCTCTTTCTTTCCTAATAAAAAGATACCAGGAGATCAATAATTTAACATATATTATTTTGATAAATTCTTTAGTTAACTGGATTTGTTCAATAAACGCAATCTCTCTCAGTACATTCTTTTCATTAATATCCTTATATTAAATTGATAACTATTTTCCCACTATTCCATAACGTATTATAAATGAAAACATTAAAACAGAAGATCGCACGTCGGAAAAAAGTAATCACAGACCTGGGAAAAGACTCGTGCTAACCGCGCCGCAATCTACTCTACGTTGGCTTAGGCGACGGTCACCAGATAATAAACCTCGCATCAAATCGTGTGAAAAAGTTACCTTTTCTCCGGAGACTATAAAAAGATTGAAGACTTCATCTATTTAACTAAATCTTGACAATAGCTCGTAGCGAACAAAGGAACTCCTCCTCATATTAAGACCGAACCCTCGACCAACCAACCTCTTAATTCCTTTAAATTCTCGACTCCCGAACTACCAAGTTCAATCGATTCCTTAATAGAAGAAACACTTAATTATTTTGACTTCAGAACCAACTTCCCAGAGTTATCACCGATCTCAGACAAAGGAATTCCCCCTGACTCCGGAATAGAATCCTTGCCAGACAAACCATCTAATATATTTAGTTCAGAAACCGATTCTTCAGAGCAGTTACTAATCACGGAATTACACGAATTAGTATCGCAAGTAGAAAGAAATAACTTCCCGAAACAATTTTATCCTACGGACGAAGTACAAACAATAAAAGACCAATTCTCAGAACAGTTATTAATTGCAGAACTGTGTGATTTAATATCACAAATAGAAGAAGATACTTCTCAAAAACAAACTCATCGTAAGGACTTGATACAATCATTAAAAGATCAGTGTCCAGACAATTTATTTGAAATCGATCAATATTGCTAATTATCTAGATATTTAACTATTCTCCTAATGTCTACCTAAATACAATTGATGGGATTCAGCGGTAAATTAACGAAGATATTAATACGATATTGATGCAATCTCCATCAGTACATTTTTCTTATTAATATCCCCCTGACAATATACCCTTATTAAATTAGATATTTCACTACCATTCTATGCCTCATGAAGACGCGAAAACAAAAGATCAAATATCGAAAGAAACGTAATCATAGAGCAGGTAAAAAGGCTCGTGCTAACCGCGCCGCATCTACTTTACGTTGGCTCCAGCAACAAGCCCTTGACAAAACCCTCTTTACGAACGAAAGAACCTTCCCCGACACAAAGATTGAATCCTCAATTGACGAATTACCTAATTCTTTTGGTTTAAACACGATATTTTGAATGATCATTATTCACAGAACTGTGTGATTTAGTATCGGAAATAGAGAAGAAATCTCCCAGGATCTAATAAAATTCTTAGAAAAACAGTGTCCGGATATCTCATTTAAAATCGATCAATATGCTAGTTATTTAAATATTTGAATCATTTCTCAAATGTTATCAGAATGTACTATTGAAGAAAACCGGAAATTAATTAACGAGGAAATTCATACAATAATAAGTATAATTATCGCCCTACTAACAGACGTTTTTAGAGGGAAACATCGATTTAGACCAATTTCTCGTCTGTTTAGATAACATTCCGGATCCATTGCACATGATAAACGCGAGACTTCACAAAAACCGATAATTCGTGTAATTTAAATAATTGTTTAATAATAAAACCCCATGAGGGATTCTCAAGACCTTAAATTTGAGAGTTATATAATATTTTCGCTATTAAATTTATTAATTAACAACTATTTAAATGGGAAAATTACAGTCGATCAATTGATAAATTCATTAGTTTAGAAAGAATTGCTAGTAGAAATCCTGTTTACAGTAGTAACTAAAATTCCCCATCCCCAACGTCCCAATACTCGGTCCCTAGTTCCACAGTATAGTCCGTGGTCTCGGCGTCCCTAAGGTATAGCCGGTGTAAGCAGGTTGCCTCATAAAAAATAGAGAGCGCTTTATTCTTTCTAGCCTAGGGATAGAGAGAGTAGGAAGGTCACTGAGACGTGACATAGGATACAAATTCCTTATTTTTTTGTTTAATTTTCATTAACATCGCGTTTGGCTCTATGACCGAGAAGGAGGAGGTGTATATTGCGTTTATATTAAGAGAGCCGATCTAATATTCTTATTATTGTAAATTATTATGTGTGTATTTATATATGTATATATATACAAAATAAATAATATATATTATAAACAATACATATATAATATATAAAATAATACACTATATATATATATATTGTTATTGTATATTTTAGTTAAACAATTATTTTAAATATTTAAATTTATAACAATAAAAATACAAATCAACGCTTGTGTAAAGTTTAAAATTAATAAAACATAAAAAGTAGGTCAAATAAACAAGCCAAAATAATTTAGATGTAAGGATAATTAAAAATTATTTATTCATAATATAAATATAGATGTTTCGACCTTACTAGGTCTTTATCAATACAATTAACCGCAAGTATAAAATTATAAAATATAATAAAGAAATTTAAACATAATCTCGCAAGCTATGTAAAGACGAAACTTTAATTATCATTCAATTTAATTACAATGGTTGAAACAATTATTCTTAGATGTCTTATGTTTAAGACCATCTCTCAAATAAATGCACGGAGTCCAAATTCATCGTTGGACAGCGCGAACAGTCTGTTCCGGCATCTTCACGAGATGAGTCCCATTTATTCAAGTCTTTTTTTCCCACAAAATAGATATATTAAAAGGATTTCAATGAAAAACACTCCGAAAAATATAAATTAGCAATAACTTACATATTGATGTTTTGTGTTGGTTGTTGCGACTCAGCAATATCAAGGAATAATATGTGTCATTATTATATCAAAGCCTGTTTATATAGTCAATAGTGTTGTCAATAGTTAAAGGTTAACTTTTTTTATTAAAAAAGTGTGTCAGATAACTATTCTAAAATGTCAAAATAACAGCTTTCAAGAGATTCGATATCTTTCTTTAAATTTATATTATTTTTATGTTCTTTTATGTATAACATTTCAGAAATAAGTTTTTTATTATAGTTGATTTCATGATCTAATATTTCAGTCTCTTTCAGTCAAAAGTGTGCTTATTATTGAAAATATGTTCAGAAATCACCGAATGTCTTGCATAGTCTAATTTAAAATTGTTTTTATGTTCGTTAAGTCTGGTACGTAATTGTTTTTTTGTTTGTCCAACATAAGTTGCGTCACAGTCTCTGCAATTGATTTATATACAACATTTGAATTGCTGGAGTCATCATTCTTGTCTTTATGTGTTTTAATTTAGTTGTTTAGATTTTTCAAAACACAATATCCTACATTTACATCCGATTTTTTAATATTGGCTGATATTTTTTCGGAGATGGATTCTACATATGTGTGTGGTTCTAATCGTTTATTGAACGATCGGTGGGCAAGGAATGTTAAGGAAGATTAACGATAGCCGGGTTGGTTTTCGAAGGCTCCCTTTAATTTTATTAATTAAATAATAATTATGGTGTCGTTCCTCTGGTCTGGTAGTCTTTCGCTCGTCCTTCTTTCAACGGGAGCGGGTTAAAATCGCTACAGCGCAAAGATCCACAAACTCGGAGGTATTCGGTGGACGCACTTTTCGAAGAATACAGAGCGAAAACTGTTTCGATAGAGTATCACTGACTTGTGGTCGCTTAGACGGCTGAACGCACTTTATCGGAATCGACCGTCGGATCGCAGGAACCCGCCGGTTTCGGAGAAAAGTAAGGGAAATAACACGAAGTCAGAGCGCGGGCAATAACAAGCCGTGTTTATGTATATAGTTTTTTGGTTGATCAGCTGTGTGCTCGCTCGCGCAGACAATAAGTCGAGGCAAACGATAGTCGCAAAAACGCTTCCAAAACATACCGCCCGCCTCAAATGAACACATTCGAAATGCGCATTGTGACGAACAAGAAATGCACTTCGGTTTGCACCAACGACGATAACGTTTACAATCGATTGATAGAGATCCACTCTATCGATTTGAACAGTCTTATTGTGATTACGAGACCAGTGACAAAGGTATACATAAGAATATAATTGATTAATTTTAAAACAAATAAACAAAAGCAAACAAACAAAACGAGATATATATAAGAGCAAGTGCTTGCTTTACTTTTTATCTCCGCCCGCCGAGCCGGATGTCATTGACATCTCTTGATTGATGTCGACGGAAAGATAACAGATTTTGGTGATAAGGCGCTTATATTCTGCGCGGCTCGTTCGGACGGTGACGACTCTCGTCAAGCCATCGGCTCCGGGATGGCACGCAACAATTCGGCCGAGCTCCCATTGACTCGGGGGAGCTTGCAGATTTCGTAGAAGAACTAACTGACCGACGCGCGCTAATTTTTGTACAATTCGCCATTTTGGGCATTGTTGGAGGGTGAGCAAGTAATCGTTGCGCCAAGATCTCCAAAAACCTTCGGTGATACGCTGCGTCATCTGCCAGCGTGACAGTCGATTTTCATGCAGGTCGAGAACGCTGGGTTCGGGAACCGCTGCTAACGGAGCGCCGATTAAAAAATGCCCAGGAGTTAAAACGCGGTAGTCTTCCAGATTCTCGGAGACGGCGGATAACGGTCGAGAATTTAAACACGCTTCGATTTTACAGAGAAGGGTGTTTATTTCTTCGTACGTGAGGGTGTGAGCACCTATACAACGTTTGAGGTGCGTTTTGACGCTACGCACACCGGCCTCCCAGAGACCACCAAAATGTGGGGCGGCTGGGGGAAGGAAATGCCACGATGTTTTTTTGCAAGCGGTCGCTTCAATAAAATTTGGATCGCGGAGGGCGCGACGATGTGCATCGGCTAATTCGCGATCGGCTCCTTGAAAAGTTGTGCCATTATCGCAATACATCCCCTGGAGAAGACCTCGTCTGGACACGAACCGATGATACGCTGCGATAAAGGTTGCGGAAGTATAATCGGTTACGACTTCAAGGTGGATAGCCTTAGTAGTGAGGCATACAAACAGGGCGATGTACGCTTTATGAGACTTATGTCCGCGCCCGGGTGTACTTCGTAACAGAATAGGACCAGCATAATCGACTCCCGTGTGTGAAAACGGTCGCGCCGCGCGATTTACGCGAACCGACGGAAGATCTCCCATAAGTTCATTTGGAATGGTCGCAGCCTCGCGGACACATCGCACACATTTGTGAAGGACTGCGCGGGTACAAGTGCGAGCGCGAAGAATCCAGAATTCGGAACGTAAGGATGCGAGAGTGAATTGTGAACCGCCGTGTAGCATGCGATGATGGTGATGATCGATGATGAGGGAAAGGAGAGGATGCGACCAAAGGACGATCGGGTACTTCGTCTGGCAGGCGAGCGTGACGTAGACGTCCGCGGACGCGGATAAGTCCGTCGTCGCTCAGCAAAGGATTGAGAGATGAAAGCGGACTGGATTTGGACACGGATCTTTTCGCAGCGAGACAGACTAATTCAGCGGGAAACATAGCTGCCTGTATACATTGGAGCCAGTACGCTTTGGCTGCAGCGATTTCGTCGACGCGCGAACTGCGTTCGAGTAATTGATTTCGCCGTCGCGCGAGATTCCCGAATCGAATTAGATACGAGGTCACGCGAAGTAATTTCGGCCATGATGAGAAGCGAAAAGCGAGATCTTATAACGGAGGAGCCGGAGAGTCCGCGACGTGTACGTTTCGTTTCTCCAAAAGATTGGTGGATGTGATCTCATCTTGTATGAGATTGCCGTTTGGCCAAGAGGTTGGAGGCAAAGACAGCCACGGGCGTCCGTGCCACCATAACGGATGTGAAGCTAGTTCCTCCGGAGCAAGACCAGGGGACACGGCATTGGCGGCGTTGTCGTAAGTCGGAACATGGCGCCACGGTATGTCCGGTAAGGTCGTTTGAATGGCCGCGACACGATTTGCTACGAACGTTCGCCAGCAAGACGGCGATTTACTTAGCCAGGCTAGCGTTATTGTGGAATCCGTCCAACAATATATTTCAATGTTCGGCAGTTAAAGCGTCGTTTGAACAAACTGCACGAGGCGCGAAAGAAGATGTGCAGCGGCTAACTCGAGACGCGGAACGCTTAATGTTTTGAGAGGGGCGACCTTGGACTTCGCGGCAAGCAAGAAAACGTCGACCGATCCGTCGATGTTAATGTTACGGAGGTAGACTACCGCCGCATAAGCTTTCGTAAAGGCGTCTGAGAAACCGTGTAACTCCGTTTTCAAGGTATGAGAGCCGTATCGCGTCCAGCGCGCGATTTTGAGTTGATGAAGGCACGATAATTGCAAATAATAGCGTTCCCAGTCGGTTGCGTAATCGCCGGAAATGTCGTCGTCCCAATCGCATTTTAATTGCCACAAGGTTTGCAGAAATATTTTTGCGGTAATCACGACGGGGGTGATCCAACCGAGCGGATCAAATAGTTTGGCGATGGTCGATAAGATCTCGCGTTTCGTTTTCGAGATATGTGTCGGGAGGGAAACTTTAACCCGAAAGACATCGCGACACGGGTCCCACGTGAGACCTAGCACGCTCAATCGCTCATCATCATATAGCTCCTTTGAGCAGGCAAGACCGTGATCGGACGGATCAATATCCGATAGGAAATCTTCGCAATTGCTCGCCCATTTTCTCAAGCGAAAACCGCCCTTTTCTAATAAAGCGACAAGTTGGTCGCGAGTCTGGCGCGCGAGAATTTTATCGTCGGCGCCGAACACGCTGTCGTCGACGTAGAGTTGCGAAAGGAGAACCGGAACCGCGAGCGGAAATGAGGCGCCTTCATCTTGCGCTAACTGTCGCACAACACGGAGAGCGAGGTAAGGAGCGGAAGCGGTGCCGTAGGTAACTGTGAGTAGTTGATACTCATTGACTGGTTGTTCCGGAGACTCTCGCCACAGAATCCGCTGGTAGTCAACATCGCGTTGGTCAACTAGAATTTGCCGATACATCTTTGCGATGTCGGCAGTGTAGACATAGCAATGCTGACGCCATCGCATTAGCACCGTTGCGAGATCGAGCTGGAGCTTAGGCCCGACCATCAAGTGATCGTTTAAGGATGTGCCGTCCGAGGTTCGACACGACGCGTAAGCGCGTCGTGGCACTGCTGTCTCGTACGACAGCATGATGCGGGATATAATAGCGGTGAAGTGCATTCCCACAGCGATTATCCGGTGGCGCGATGGTCATATGGCCGAGTTGACGATACTCGGTAAGGAATTCGCGATAGGCGGAAGCCGTTTCCGGCTGACAAAGGAAACGCCGTTCGAGGCGTTGAAGGCTGGCGAAGGCGACGGCGCGCGATTCGCCTAACGAGAATGCGGTGTGACCTTTAAAGGGTAACCGAACGACGTAACGCCCTTGAGGCGTGCGGTAGTGAGTGGACAAAAAATGTTCCTCACATTCGAGATCTTTGGGATTTGGAAAAGATGAGAGGGGAATATCCTCAACTTCCCAAAATTTACGGAGAATGGAATCGAGAGATTCAAGGACGGTTCCATGATGCACCTGCACAGATGCGCGTGGATCAGTGGAGATGGGAGTGACGGGTCCGGAGAGGATCCAGCCAAGAGTGGTTTTCTGAGCCGTAGGCTCGTTAACGGATCCCTTTCGAATACCGTCAAGGAGGATCAGGCCATACAGGTTGGCGCCGATAATGACGTCGATCGGATCGCGACTCATGAGATCTCCGTCGGCTAAACGCAATCCGGATATATGCGACCAGCGACACGCGGAATTTGTACGATTTGGCGTATATTTTGTTAAGCAGGGGAGAACGAGAGCGGTCGTCGAGTACGCAGGTTCATCGCCGAACGCAGGAGTTACGATGACGGTAACTGCGTGATGCGATACGGATTGTTTATCGCCGATGCCGGCAATCCGAACGGCTTGCTTGACGCGCGGTAACTGTAAGCATTGGGCGATTGATTCGGTGATAAGCGTGACTGCGGAACCTTGATCAATCAATGCGCGAACAGTAACTACTCGTCCTTGTGGCGAATGCACGCGAACGCGGGCAGTTGCAAGGAGAATCGCGGCCTGCGGTGACACCATGTTTGTGGAGAGATGCGTTGTGACGTCGCTATTACTCGAGTCGCTCGACGTCGTCGCGACCGCGGATTCGACGGTATCTCCTTGATTGGCGGATGTGTCAAAATGCAAGAGCGAGTGGTGCTTTTTCTGACACTGTTTGCATGTGCGCGGGCTCGTGCATTCCTTCACAACGTGCTTCGCGCTGAAGCAATTGATACACCGTCGGTTGAGACGGATTAACTCGAATCGTTCGGACGGTGTTTTGCTAGCGAAGGTCGAGCATTGGTATAATAAATGTTTGGCTTTACAGACAGAGCACGTGACGTTCGCGGGAACGCCGGAATTGGAGGCGAGTACGTGGCGTTTTGCCGGTTTATTCGATTCGGATGCTTTCTCTTTCGGATTCGCGGGAGCGATCGCGTCGAATGCGCGAATTCGAGTATCGATAAATTGCGTAAGATCTTTAAAGCGAGGATACTCGCTGGTTTCGCCAAGCTTTATCTCCCACGCCTCTCGAGTTGATTTATCGAGTTTTTGCGAAACGAGGAAGACCAATAGATCATCCCAGTGCTCGACCGGACGCCCGAGATTCTTTAACGCATGTATCGCAGCGTTGGTCTGATCACAAAGGTACCGAAGGTCTTTGGAGTTTTTACTCGGAACCGCGGGTAAATCAACTAATGTTTGCAAATGCCCGGTAATCAAGCGTCGCTTATTTTTGTAACGTGAAATTAAGAGGTTCCACGCGACGACGTAATTCGCGTCTGTAATCGCGAGGTGGCTCAACGCCTTACTAGCTTCACCCTTTACACACGAATAAAGATAATGCAAACGATCGACATTTGACAGCGAGGTATCGTTAGCGATTAACGATGTGAATCGGTCGCGGAAATTTTCCCATTTATCAAAGCCTCCCTCGAACGTCGGTAAGTGTAGCTTTGGCAAATATGACGACCGGCGAGAGAATTCGGAAGGGTTGCTTACGTCCAAGGCTGTTGACTGATGCCGCGGTCCCGGTTTGAAGGCTTCGAGAATTTCTGCCATGTAGTCGGATGTTTCGTTGAAGACGTCCTCGCAGGCGAAAAACTGCTGCTCCTTGAAGTAAGGCAGTTGCTGCTTCTGGGTATCACTGGCCAGACGAGTGATTTTCGAATGGAGTTCCTGGCACTTCGAAAAGATGACCTTCAGGTTGGCGAGGCGCTCCTTGGTAGCGGCACGAGTCATCCGTGCTTGGCCAAGTTTCTTGAAATTTGGCAGAACTCGTGCGACAGAGTACATCAGCTGTGTCTGATCGCTGATTATCTCCTCCACGTTTGACATGATGCCGGCAGATCGTCAATGCTTGGTTTCGTCTTGCCACCGATCCGGCTCGAAGGACCAAAATTATGTGTGGTTTTAATCGTTTATTGAACGATCGGTGGGCAAGGAATGTTAAAGAAGATTAACGATAGCCGGGTTGGTTTTCGAAGGCTCCTTTTAATTTTATTAATTAAATAATAATTATGGTGTCGTTCCTCTGGTCTGGTAGTCTTTCGCTCGTCCTTCTTTCAACGGGAGCGGGTTAAAATCGCTATAGCGCAAAGATCCACAAACTCGGAGGTATTCGGTGGACGCACTTTTCGAAGAATACAGAGCGAAAACTGTTTCGATAGAGTATCACTGACTTGTGGTCGCTTAGACGGCTGAACGCAGACTTTCTCAGAATCGACCATCGGATCGCAGGAACCCGCCGGTTTCGGAGAAAAGTAAGGGAAATAACACGAAGTCAGAGCGCGGGCAATAACAAGCCGTGTTTATGTATATAGTTTTTTGGTTGATCAGCTGTGTGCTCGCTCGCGCAGACAATAAGTCGAGGCGAGCGATAGTCGCAAAAACGCTTCCAAAACAATATGGAATTGCAACAAATTTGTTATTTTTATCTTTGTTATCGTGAGGACTCTTTTTATTTTCTGTATCAATTATATTTAATTTGCTGCCGATAAGATTCTTAATCCTGCAATTTATTTCATTAAAAATAAGAGCAAGAGGGTAGCCATTTGATAACAAAACATTTATAACTGTATGCAAATTTGCATATCTATTGACTCCGACTCAAGAAAACTAAATTAATAATTCGATATTTCTATAAACTTTTTGTAGCACTCAAAAATAGGGTTTAAAGAAGACGTTCAGTATCGTATCCGTTCTCTCTCTCTCTCTCTCTCTCTCTCTCTCTCTTTCTCTTGTTAACACATGACAACAAATTATCTAACTTGAAAATAACTACGAGAAAACTATAAAAAATTGTTTAATTTCAACTTTATTTCACTTTTTTGCATCAGCTGATCTTGCGTATTATGCATAAAACAAAACTTTAATTTACTTAATATAAAATTATAAATAATAATAAATCAAAGCAAAATAATACTCTCATAAATTATAACAATACTTAAAGTTAATCGAATAATTAATTTCCTGCTTCAAAAATTTGTTGCAACAAGTTTTACATATTGTGAAATCCTATAAATTCTTTAAGCAAAAAGTCAACATCAATTAAACGGTTGAATTTTGAGTCAATATTATTGTTACATCCCATATTCCAGCCAGCATACCCTCGTCATTTTGACGTCGAAAATTAGTCATTTTCACTCTATTGACGTCATGGGTAAAAAAAAGTACCATAATTTGACGTCATTTTCATCACCAAATAATGATGATTTTTAACAACGTCATTTTATCGTCATATTTACGTATTTATATTTTATATTTTTTATCAAAACTTTTTTAGCATTTGAATTTTTTATTTACAATATAGATTTCATTTTAAAATGTATATTTTATGTTAAGTAATATTTTTATTTAAGTTTTTCGCGCTTTAATTGCTTTTATATGTCTGTTGTCACTCTGTATACAGTCTAGTTATATATGCTATATGTATATTTTTTGTTACTAAAGTTACTAGAGAGAGAGAGACTAAACGTTTTATGTATTTTTCGTACTTTATGGTTATTCATTCTTTTTCTCTTGGTGCGCTTTGCATTGTCTGTAACCGTGCTGTTACGCAGTCAGTTGTGTTATGTACTAGATTATCATTAAAATTGTCAGTATACAATTAAATTCCTTTGTGTTCGTTTTTTCTCAAATCATAACTTTAACGGGTTATGGCCCAGGTCATTGTTTCGTTGACCATGTGATAATAGAGAAAGGTTAGGAATATCGCGTTTTTTTCTTTTGCATTAAAAAAACAAAGGACAGGATGTCAAAAGAAATATCCATGATGAACGTGATCAAATTCAACGGATCCAATTACCAGGTGTGGAAATTCCAGATGAACACTATCTTTATTGCCTGTGGTGTACATGATATTGTCATGGGCAGGCGAGTGAAGCCTGATGACGAGCATACCGCACCTGCGAAAATTTGGATAAAAGACAATGCAAAGGCTATGTTTCTTATCTCCTTGTCCATCGAAAGCATACAACGTGAAACTCTTTCTGAACTCGGAAAGTTATCCGTACAGCGATATGAATTTGGATTTTGATAAAAACAGATGGTCAATTCTGTACGACATCTACACACGTTTCTGCAAGAACTATTACGGATACAAATATTTCGAGCCCAATCTCACCGTTACACGGTTTTTACAAAACGGTCCGTTTGTGATCATTGACTGTTCTCGACAAAACAAATCGGTCAAGAGCGGAACAGTGGATGTGAGATTGGAATTTGAGTGTAAGGAAAACGTGCCTAATAATACCACTGCGTACTGCCTCATTATACACGATTGTGTGATCCAGTACAATCCGTTGACCAACGTTGTGCGCAAAATCACCTAAAAAATGTTTACACAAACAGCTGTTTAGAGAGGGGAAGAGAATACATAATCAAAGTAATGTGAGATAGCTGTAGAGTTTCGTCATTCCTCTCGATTGAGTCGCATTGAAGAGAGAGACCTCGTCATGTCTGTACCAACATTCATCGATCTGTAAGGTTTTATCCTCAATAAACAGTTTATTGTAAAGGAAGCAGCAATCCTGAGAAGAGGATTTGTTTTATCACATTATTTCTTCGCATATTCTGTACCATGAAGTTTACTCATAAAATCGGAGAGGTGCCAAGCCTCATAGTTGACTCAACATCATCATGGCTTACAATGGGAAGATGGAAACGTTCCATACAGCATAACTCAACGCTTGATTACTGCAGCTATCGTTGGAATAAATGAAAAATTACAAGAAGATGAAGAAGAATCCTCTATCGTATACCTAAAAATATTTGAAAAGCGAGAATGGCTAGCCGATATAATGAACGATAAAAGAAACGGTTTGATAATTGAGACCTTGGATACAGATTACGACGACATTGAGTCTCTAAACAATCTAGATGTTAAAAACATTATGCGATGTAGAAAACATGTTAAAAATTGCACATTTAAAATGTATTCAAAATATTTAAAGAAGGAAGCCACAGTAAAATTTTGAAAAAATCGAAAATTTTTTTTTCGCTTATAAGGTGCTTTAGGGTCTTAAGAATAATATTCTAAAAATGGAGTGCCGCAAAAATGTGTAAATACCCAAATTTTCCATTCTGCAGCAACGCCTCTCAGGTATGCTCCGAGCGCTTTTTGTGATTCCGGCGCGCGCTGTAATTTATGAGTACGGGAGCAGGTGTAATGGCAGTCGATGGAGAAGGAATTTTTCTCCGAAAATTCTATAATACAAAAATGCCTATAGGTGTCACCATGTCCAATATACATTCAAAGAACACGTGTGTAATGTTAGTAAACCGAATCTCGATTGTTGAAACGGACGCTTTTTCGCTTCGCCTCGTGTATACGTTCCATAATATTCAAATAATAGTGAAAATAAGCAGTGATTATTGAAAACTATGAGTGACAGAAGGAGTTGTCGTGAAAAGAAAGGTGCAAAAGATTTTGATTCGTACGAAAAAAGGCCGACAAAGAAAAACAAGCAACCGTTGAATCGCTATGAAATAGAAAAGCCGGAAGATTTAGACGTCAGCGCATCGGCGAAGAAATTGAAAGGGCGTGATGTTACCGACATTGAGATGAATCCTACGTTTGGCTATAACATCGTAAATTTTGTAGCAGTTTTTGCCGCCATTTCCAATGTCGTCGTGTGTAAAGTGTGTTACTCTGAAGTGAGTTTTACAGAAAGCAGTAAACGAGAATTAGGATTTAAAATTGTTGTATCCTGTAAAAATTGTGACAAAACAGAAATACCGAGTTGCCCATATGTCAAGAATGCCTACGAAATTAATCGCAGAATTATTCTTGCCATGCAATTGCTTGGTGTTGGTTTGCAAGGCATACGAAAATTTTGTGCATTTATGGAACTGCCCCGCCCGGTCTATCATTCGGTTTATGACACAATTGTTGAAAATATTTCTAATGCAACAAAAATCGTTTCCGAGAAGAGTCTGTCAAATGCAGCAAAAGAAGAAAAAGACTTTTTGTCGAGAATGGAGAAAAAAAACGGAATCACGGTGTCGGGCGATGGATCATGGCGAAAACGCGGCTTTTCATCTCTGTATGGTTTTGTTTTACTTATCGGTTGGCATATTGGTACAGTTATCGATGTTTTAGTAAAATCAAAATACTGCAAATCATACGAATTCTGGCCAAAAAAAGAACACATCGAAGAATACAAGGAATGGGCAGAAAATCATGTGGACAATTGCGAAGCAAATCACGAGAGATCAGCTGGAAAAATGGAGGTCGATGCTGCCATTGAAATGTTCCAGCGCTCTGAAGAATTGCATGATGTGCAGTATGTAAATTATGTAGGCGATAAAGACTCGAAAACCTTCAAAGGTGTCACAGATGCTGAACCGTACAAAAACGTGACGATAACTAAAAAGGAATGCGTAAATCACGTACAAAAACGCATGGGCACTTACCTCCGTAATTTGAAGAAACGCACAAAAGACTTGGGAGGAAAAAGGAAATTGACAGGCAAACTGATCGACGAACTGTCAATATATTTCGGGTTAGCTATTTGTAGAAATTGTGAATCAGTCGAAAAAATGAAGACAGCTATATGGACCACATTACTTCACAAAATATCTACGGATAACCATCCCCAACACGACAATTGCCCGACTGGAGAAAATTCATGGTGCTCGTGGCAAAGGGCGAAATCTTCTAACACTTTGGCTACCTATACGCACAAACCACCAATGTCTGATGTAGTTTATGAAGCAATTAAGTCAGTTTACGAACAACTTACTGCGGATGATCTTCTCACTCGCTGCATCGGCGGTTTCACACAAAACAATAATGAAAGTTTGAATTCGACAGTGTGGGCGATGGCTCCAAAAACTTTGAATTCAGGCAAAAAAATTATCGATATTGCTGTGAACATCGCTTCGTGCGTTTTTAATGACGGGTTACTGTCCATTTTACACATAATCGAAGTCATGGGGATGAAAATCGGCCCGAAAAGTTTTGAGCTGTGTATGGAATTAGATGAAAAGCGAATACAGGAGGCGGAGCGATTCATGACAGAGGGCGCAAAACAGGCCAGAATCGACCAGATGTCAATTCGAAAGGTCAAACATCAACAGGAAATTGACGAAGAAGGCCAATTGTACGAGGGTCACTATTTATATTTCGGGAATTGGCAACACTGATGTCATGTGAGTCCATCTGACGGTTCCATCGTAAAGTTTGACACTTTTGACGATATACGTACTCAGAACATTTTGTCATACGGACGCTATTTGTTTATTTTATATTTAGTTGAAAGTTTCGTCTCGGCAAAAAATGGAACTGAATCGTGAACATTTTCGTGCGATGATTTTTTACAATTTTCGACGTGGATTATCACAACAAGAGTGCGTCAATCAACTTAATTTGACTTTTGGCGATGAAGCTCCATCAAAAACCACTGTGTATTGCTGGTATAGTGAATTCAATCGTGGTCGTAGTTCGCTGTCCGACGAGTTTCGTGAAGGTTGTCCAAAATCGACTGTAGTGCCAGAAAACATCGATGCTGTGCACGAAATGATTAAGCAAGATCGTCATGTAACCTATTGTGAGATTGAGGCATCCCTAAGCATTAGTTTCACCAGCATATATGCGATTTTACATAAACACTTAGCTGTGCGAAAGTTATGTTCGCGTTGAATCCCACATAATTTGACAATCGCTCAAAAAAAGGCTTGTGTTGATTGGTGCAAAGTACAATCGCGGTGCTTCAAAAGACGTTTATCAAATCGTGACAGGTGACGAATCATGGATATATTCGTATGAGCCCGAAAGTAAGCAGCAGTCGACTGTATGGGTGTTCCAAGATGAACCAAATCCAACAAAAGTTGTTCGCGCACGAAGCACTTCAAAGAAAATGGTGGCCTGTTTCTTCGGAAAAACTGGTCATATTGCAACAGTGCCTCTAGAGGATCGTAGAACAGTAAATTCTGAGTGGTACACAACCATCTGTTTGCCAGAAATCTTCGGTAAAATAAGGAAAACAAACAAGAGACGTCGGATTGTTCTTCATCATGACAATGCGAGCTCTCACACATCGGCTCAAACAAGAGACTATTTGAGCACTCAAAACATCGAATTGATGGGTCATCCGCCGTACAGCCCTGATTTGGCACCCAATGATTTCTTTTTGTTCCCATCCGTGAAGAATAAACTGCGTGGTCAACAATTTTCATCGCCCGAAGAAGCTATTGAAGCGTTCAAAAATCATGTTTTGGAGATACCTCATTCGGAATGGAATAAATGCTTTGAAAATTGGTTTAAGCGCATGCAAAAGTGTATCGATCATCGTGGCGAGTACTTTGAAAAACAATAAAAATATATTCGCAGCTTAATTATTTGTTTTTGTTCCTATTCCCGAAATATAAATAGTGACTCTCGTATGGTGCAGGCATTGCCGATTAGAGGCATATAAAAATATTATATGATTTTACAGTACTTACAACTTTAAACGCGTTTTTCTCGAAAACACTTTTTTTTTAATAGGCGGACACATAACTCGAATAAATCTTTACCGATCGGTTTGAAATTTTCACAGTATATTCAGAATACCTTTCTCTATGGAACTGCGTAGGGTTTTTTTGTTATATTATATGGTTTTTATTTTATCAACAATTTTATGGCGTTTTTTTTTGTTTTTTTTGCAAGTTTTTCTTAAAACGTGCGCTATTTTGCGAAAAATTAACATATCGAAAAAATCCTACGCAGTTCCATACCCATTTATATATAGAACCTAAAAAACTTTCACTTTTTGTTCTAGGTCAAAAATTACGGACTGTAGATGTCCGCCCATGGGCCCTCCTGTAAAAATAGGCGCCACAGGACAAGTGCTGCACAGCCGCCATTTTGTAATAAAAATGCGTCAAAAAATTTTAAATTGTAGTTCGTTTATGATATTATACTGCTCATTTTACAGATTTTTGATTCATCATTTCATTGACCCAAAAAAATTTCCAAAAATAGCCTTACTTTTTTGTGCTCTACTATGGCTTTCCCTCTTAACTGGTGGTCACAACACCAGAAAGAATATTTGAAAAAATGAAATATATAAACATATTAAAAATTTTTATATCTTATTTACCCTTCTCATTCTTTCCTGTTTCTAAGAATTCTTTTTAACCGAGCGATGTTTTTCCCTTCTCCTAAATCTCAGAGCGCTAGACGCAATCTCCACTATATTTACTCCTACTATCTTTGAGAAATCAGTATATTTTAAATTTTTTATTGGATCTTTAATGTTGTCCGAGTGATGTCTCTCCCTTCTCTTAAATTTCAGAGCGCTAGAAATACTCCCAAAAACTCTCCCACCACATTTATCTTCACTATCTTTGAGAAAATGAGTATATATTCTAAATTTTTTTGTACGATTGTGACCGAACGTGTAGGGGAGATCCCTTTGTTAACGATTTACCGACACAGAACGCCCCGCTTTCACCATTAGTGGTCGCCACTTATTTTTACCTAAATAAACAAGGTGGGATGTCATCGTATCAAATCCTTTAGTTGCCGTCGGCTCGGGTACTGAGGTCTGTCGTTGCCTTTTGTCGGCATGCCGTGCCTCTCGTCAAAGATGGCCGCTGCTACGCAGGTTGAAACCTGATCGTCTAACGCAAGAATTACGTCGAATTCGGATTAGGACTGTTGTTTGATCTCTCCTTTTCTTTCCAGGTCGCCGTGGGATACCTCCTCGGCTGCGGCCGATTCCCAACTCCCAAGGGAGCGGAGGGAGTCGCAGCCGGGGGGCCGAGGGGGGGCCACGTGTCCCCGCCGGGCAGGCTCCGCCTGTCCGGTCGGGGCGCCTGGGTCCCCCTCTGTGAGGACGTGACGTGCGGGGCCCTCTCACCGGGAGCCACGAGGCACCGGTGGGAGGGCAACGTCGTCCACGGAGGGGTTTCTCTCCTTCTGAGAGAGACCTCCTGGTGAGGGCCTCCGGAGTGAATGCCGAATCCCCACTCCCTTTGGGAGGGGGAGGGAGCACCACTCCGGAGGCGGGGGGTGGCGGCTCGAGCGGGACACTCGAGCCGTGACCCCGCCCCCCAAACTCTTTGGGAGGGCGCGACGTGGGGTCGATACCGCCCTGCGTCGCAACCGCGAGAACCCTGCACGATGCAATTCGCGGGAGGGGGAGAGTGTCGCCTTCCGCGACACTCTCCCAAGGAGGGATAAGGCGGGGGGGGCGGCGAGACGGCATGGGATTCCAGCATCCTCGCCGTCCCCCATAAACGCCCGAGAAGGTATCCGCAGTGGGTTTAGTGAGGTATGTCTTGACCCCCCCCTGACCGATCCATTCGTGGATCGGCCAAGGGGAGCAAGAAGTCCCACATAACCATCCGCTCTCTTCCCGGAGAGCGGTGGTATCCATGAGGATTCCCACTGCGTTAAAAAAAAAAAAAAAAAAAATTGAATTGCCGCCGTGCCGTTATTCACCCGGAGGAGGATCGCCGTGGGATTGTGTACGAGAGTAAGTATAGACACTGTTTTTATAGTTCACAGCACTGTTTATTGCGCTTAATGGAACTCAGGTTACACTTATTATTCCGCACGCTATTGTCACAATTTGTTTCCGACGGAATGTTACGCTTATACGCGACAACAATTTTAACGAACGCAGCGTATACGATTTCTAAAAATCGCGTATGATTCATTCGAACCACTTACTATTATTACGCTCGATCGTCGTGGACGAGTCTAACGCTTCGACGATTAAAGAATCGCGATATGACCCAGCGCAGGTCACTTTAGGATATGCGTCCGACTGTCCCGAGCTGTCTCGGGAGTCGCCTTATATACCCGGATCGTCGGGTAGCCCCACCGTAGGCCCGCCGGCCAATGGGCGTTGAGCGCCCCGTTCTGGGGACTCCGGCGAATCCGCACGCTTGACTGTAAAGTAGGGTCATCGCGAGTTCCCCCCCGTTGATCGCCACCTTGTCGTGGTGGGGGGGCCCACCCCTCGCAAGGGAATAGCCTTGCGAGGGGTGCTAAGAGCGATCGGTACCTCTTGTAGAGGTACAAGAGGCCTGGTGGGGCCTTAGGGTTTCGGCCCACCACCCTTGGAAGGCCACCAAGTAAAAAAACCAAATAAACAACATGGACGGACGAAACAACAGGAGAAAACTTACCGGCCCAGGGGTTTCGGATGCCCCAGGACCCGGCGAAGAGGAGGGTATCATCCCGGCCTCCACTCCGTCGTTAACGAGCGACGGGTGCGAGAGTGGGGACGGGTGGTCGACGGATTCGTCGATCGCGTCGGCGGGGGGGTTTACAGACCCCAGGGCGGTGAGGCCGAAGTACTTGCTTCCGGGCCTCACATGGGAGAGAGACCTGGCCCCATGGTGGTCCAAGGAGGACATTGATGTCCCCACGACGCGCCTCTTCCGGAGGTCTTTGCGCATCTGGAAGATGGTGAAGAGGGAGGTTGATGAATTCAACGAAGCCATCATGGAGGAAGTCCGGTCGGATGGGAAGATGAGTCCCATCCTGAGAGAAGCTACGGGCTTTGCCGGACGCATGTGGTGCATGACGCGCGAACTGACGGAGGTCTCTGCAGAGCTCACGCGTAGAGAGTGCATCCGCTTCGGGCAGGATGAGGAGGAGAACGCGAGGTTCTGCAGAGACCAAGGGACCCAAACCCAGGAGGAGAAGGGGGTTCTAGCTGGAACCCAGACCGAGGAGACGCCTGCAACGGTGGCCCCTTTGCTGAGGGAGTTGGCGGACAGACTCGAGGAGATATCCTCGGGGCTGGCCGCCAACTCGGACCGGCTGGGACTGCTCGAGGGGCGCCTCGCGAGGATGGGGGTCGGTCGTGTTAGGAGGAAGACTCGGGTGGCCCGGGAGATCTCCGGAGAGGAGAGCGTGATGGAGATTGGCACCGGGACCGAGACCGAAGCCGAGACGGTAACGACGGGGACGGCTACGGACGACACGACGACGACGACAAAGACGGACAAGGGGAAGACGACGAAGGGGGTTGGGGAGGCCACAGGGGTGTGGGCGAGAGTGGTGGGGAGGAGAGCAGGGAGAAGAGAGAGAGGGGAGATGAAGGGGAAGGAGAAGGAGAAGATGACCGCTGGTGGAGGCGGTCGGCGGGAGAGGAGAGTTGGCGGCGGGGTAACCGTCGCCAACATTATGGGAGCGTCGAGGTGTTACCGGTGTCTATGTGTGGGGCACACGTGGCGCCGGTGCACTTCGGCGGTGGACAGGGGTAGCCGCTGCTACCGCTGCGGCTCCCCTGGCCACAAGGAGGTTGGGTGCCTGTCCGGCCTTAGATGTCCACTTTGCGTGGACTTTCGACGGCCGGCCAGGCACCGAATCGGAGGCCCGGGATGCCTAACAGCACCCCTGGCAGAGTCGAGAGGAGGGGGCGCGGCCGTCGTCGGCGGTCGTGCTCACGGGTGCGGCTGTCCGCGGCGGGGGTCGGGGGGCCCGCCTGATACCGGCGTCATTAGTTGACACCGGATGAGGGTGTCGGGGGGGACATGGGGGCGCTTAGGCGCTCCCCTCCCCCCCCACACCCTCCGGGAGGGAGGGGCCCCACCGGTTGCGGGTGAACTCTGACCCTTAGGGGCGGAGGGAGGTCGCAACCGGGGGGGGTCAAGAGGGGGGGCCACGTGTCCCTGGCGGGCGGGCATTGCCCTCCCGTCCGGGGTGCCTGGGTCCCTCTCGAGGACGGAGACGTGACGTGTGGGGCCCTCTCACCGGGAGCCGTAGGCACCGGTGGGAGGGCAACACCGTCCACGGAGGGGGTTCCTCTCCTTCTGAGAGGAACCCTCTGGAGAGGGCCTCCGGGGCGAATGCCGAATCCCCACTCCCTTCGGGAGGGGGAGGAAGCACCGCTTCGAAGGCGGGGGTGGCGGCTCGAGCGGGATACTCGAGCCGTGACCCCGCCCCCCAAACTCTTTGGGAGGGCGCGACGTAGGGTCGATACCGCCCTGCGTCGCAACCGCGAGGACCCCCGCACGATGACATTCGCGGGGGGGGGAGAGTGTCGCCCTCAACGGCACTCTCCCAAGGAGGGATTAGGCGGGGGGGCGGCCAGTCGGCATGGGAAACCAGCATCCTGGCCGTCCCCCATTAACGCCCGGGAAGGTATCCGCAGTGGGTTTAGTGAGGTATGTCTTGGGCCCCCTGACCGATCCACTCGTGGATCGGCCAAGGGGAACAAGAAGTCCCACATAACCATCCGCTCTCTTCCCGGAGAGCGGTGGTATCCATGAGGATTCCCACTGCGTCAAAAAAAAAAAAAAAGGGTCATCGCGAGTTCCTATTTTGATTTTTGATAAATAAAATAAGTTCAACAAGAGTTCCCTTTATATTAAAATTTTCTAATATTGCTTATTTCGTCACGGGACTATTTCAGCCTTACTTTTCTGCTTATTTAAACATAAAAAATATCTTTGGAAAATAAA